CCGGCAAAATTGTCCCTCAAATATGATGGTGAAATTAGGAGATTTCCAGATAAGCAGAAACTAAGGGAATTTGTTAAAACCAGACCACCCTTACAAGAGATACTAAAGGGAGTCCTTTGAACAGAGAACCAAAAATAGCAAATAACAACTGATCATTAATACACAAGATGACACAACCCAGAAATGAGCTTACAAGATTGCAAACAGGGAACCGAGACATCAATTGGCAAGTGAGGACAACTACAAACAAAAAGAGGGAAAATACTGTGTGGTTACAGAACTTCTAAATGGTGAGGAAGTTAAGAGAGCTGACTATTTGCAATAGTCAAAAGATGGAAACAACCTAGGTGTCCATCAGCTGAGGAATGGATAACCAATCTATGGTACATACACACAATGGAATACTATGCAACGCTAAACAATAATGTAGAATCTGCAAAACACCTCATAACGTGGATGAACTTGGAGAACATTATGCTGAGTGAAATAAGTCAATCACAAAAGGACAAATAGTGTATTAATCCATTATTGTAAAAGTTAAGGAAAGGTTTATCTATAGAAGGAAATTTTCTTTGTTGGTTACCAGGGGTGGGATGGGAGGGGAGGGAAAGCTGTTTAATAGACAGAGATAAGTATTGATTTGGGTGAAGAGAAGGGCAATGTACCAAATATGAATGACCAATATGGCAGCATTGAGGATGAGAAAGACATAGAGAGGTACAGACAACAAAGATGAACCCTTTTGCACATACAGTACCGCGTTGTCAGTGAAGGCAAACATGGGTATATGGGTGGATAGATGGGTGGACAGGCTAAATAATTAGGTATGTCTGTGAAATGGGGAGTGTATCCAAGAACATATATAGGGTTGGCAGACAATGATCCTATAAGTTTATGTGAATGATCAGAATTCCCTGATGTATAGTAGAGCTGACAAGGGGCAAGGTTGTGGTCACTGCTTGGTCACAGCCAGCTACCCAGATGGACCAAATAGTTGAACCTGCGGGCTTGGGACCATAGTCACAGGGGACATCAAGCTGAGTTGGCATAACATACTATACAAAACATTGTTCCACCTCCTCCTTTGGCGAGGTGCGACTGGGATCTTAAAAGCTAGCAAGCTGCCACCTAAATGCAATGATGGATCTCTCTTCATCCAGAGCAAAGAAGAATGAATAAAACCAAAATTCATGGAAACAATTAGTCCTAATGACTGGTACAAAATCCGATCTGCAGCCTATACAACTATGAGACCAGAAGAACTAGATGGTGCCCGGCTACAACTGTCATCCACTTGGAAGGGGATCTATGTAGGAGATCCT